GGTGAAATAGGTGAATGGGATTATGAGTGCATTTATCATGATGAACCCCAAGCAAAGTATAGAATTGTTAAGGGGCGCCTGAGTGGCTCAGTTGGTTAAGCGTCTGACTCTTGATTTCGGGTCAGGTCACAGTTCCTGCGAGTTCAAGCCCCGCCATCAGGCTCTGTGCTGACAGTGCAGAGCCTGCTTGGGATTTGCTCTCTCTCCCTCTATCTCTGCCCCTCCCCTACTTGCACTCTATCTCCCTCTCTCAAAAGAAACAAACATTAAAAAAAATAAAACAAACAAAAAACCATAGTACAGGAGAAGGGAGAGCTGGGAGAGGAGAAAAAAGAAGTTTAAAAAAATCCATGTGTGCCAACATCAGAAAGTCTGCAAATTACTGATCTCAGTCATTAACTCAGACACCAAAATGAACCGTGGCCAGTGGCTACTGAGGGCATATTTTACCAAAACCACTTCTCTTTCCCTGCTTCATTTGAACTTGAGACAAGCTTCTGCTTCCCATCCTATCTTACAAGAAGCAGCTGATGAGGCCTATTCAAATTGCCACCTAACTTAGAGTAGCCAGGTCTGCAGAGTCCCCGTTCAGTAGAGGAGGGCGGGGAGGTCCCTGTCAGGGCACAACTACCACGGGGCCTCACCCCGGCCGCAGCACACGTCAGCCCCTGCTAGCATCTAAACCACATGCGTGTGCTACTCAGGGCAGCCAAGCCAAAGCACCCCCGGTTAGCGCTTTCTTTCAACCTAGATTAGACTAAGAAGAAAATCACTCTGGAAAGATGAAAAGTGAACAGGTTACGATCTATACTCCCAAAACCATATAGGGAGAGCTTGAATCATTAATCAACTCTTCACAATAATAAATCTCAAATCTGTTAAATCTGACAGAAATTGTAAACTTATAAATGTTACCCTGAGAAGTGGTAGGCAGAAGCTAGACACGTATCTTAAGAGAAATTCATTAAAGAGAACGTAAGAGTTGCCACTTCGACAAACAGAATTCAAGGCTGGAACACCGAGTCAGACACAAGACAGGCTTCCCACCTTCCCTGGCCCTGTGCCTGAGGACAGCCGTGCCCTCGGGGTTCGGTCGTGTTCAGCCACATGGTTACTGTTCTAAAAGCATCCAAAGGGTTGGTTTGTTTTATGAAGAATATAATATAGCAGACTGGGAAAGTATCCTTAACAGAACCTAGAGAGCAGATTAAAAAAAGTGAGGAGAAGCAAAACTCCAGTGTTCTACGTGCCAAGCAGAATGGTGGACGTAGAAGCAGCATGCAGTAAATGCACACTAAAAATGGAGTATACGGAAATCAGCTCTATCTATCTAGGAGTTGAAGAGAATGAGACGAAATGAGCCTCAATTCCAAAATAAGAGACACCCCACTCTTCTTTATGAAGCATTTTGGTCGGCGCCTTTACAAGTCTGGACTGCCCAAATTAACAATAAAATTACAAATCGGAAAGTAATCCCAAATCACCCTTTCAATATCATTCCTTTCCCTAAAACTGCTACATAGAAACAAGATGAACATCTTCTAGTTTACCCATACTGTCTATCCCAATTTGTCACCTCTGAAAGAGGATAATATAAAGTTAAAACAGCAAAATAACAGCATAGGAATGCCTCACCTTTTACATG